TGTAAATCGTTAAGACTTAGTATTAATGTACAACATATCTATTTTTCTACTTGTTTTAATTCGAATTGTTGTTGAACAAAGGATTAGTCATAAGTTCGTAACGTTTAGTCCAACTAGAAACAATTATTCAATTCAACAAACAATTACATTTGATTGACGACAAATGTCATGTAAAACATTCATTTTATCGATGTATTTGTCTTTGATCTATCTTTTTCTTTTTTTAGTAAATTCAAATCTAGCAGGTAAAATTATATTTATGATGATGAGAAAAAACAATGATTTCTAAAATAGACTGAACATTAAAAAAATCTATAAATAATACGAAAAATATCTGTATTTAATGAATTAGATATGGACTAAAATTTCTCTTTCCAACATATATTCTTTTGATTAGAGTTTAAATGATCTAGTTTTTAATTATTTTGAAGTTATGATGACTTTTATAGATGTTTCTTCAAATGTTCAAAAATTAGGCTTAGAAAAAATATCAGTCATTCAGAATAATCTCGCTTGTTGTTGTAAACTATACATATAGAAGAAAGTCTATCCGTTCATTTTCATGCTTCAGACAAGTTCAATTAAAATTTTCGAAATTTCATAATACTTAGTGTTGAGTCATTTTTTGTTAAGTTGATAGACCAGCATAATGTCTTATGGTACAGATCGAATGAAATATAGTCATGGAATTTTTATACAGAGATCTGTATAGAACTCGAAAGTCTATCTATCAATGATAGAACTTAAAATAACATTGCGTTGATTACAAATAATTTATGAAAAATAAGAGTATTTAAAGTAAAGTGCAAATATCAAGCAGTTGAAACACTTAGTAAAGATAATATGAATCATCAACAACAATTTCTAGTGTCGAACCATCTTAGTATACCAGAAGAATATATAGATCATTGACAAATGAGTTTCTTGAGACGCGTAAAACAAAATGGAATTATATAAACATGATGCTGTAGAAGGAAAGGGTTCAACATGATGCTAATGTTCGAGAAAAGAACACGTTATTATTTTACATCATTGATACTTATATTTCATTCACATGAAAACATAGTCGATCATGACTTTTTCGTCATAGCAGATAATCATTCATGTAAAACCAGTGTTGACTTATTCTTTAATTTATATTAATTATTCATTTCGAAATGATTAAAATTATTTTGTTTATTATTAAGTAAAATATAGTCGAGTATGTTATTTTACCAATTGGGGTGTTCATCGATCGATGAAAGAAGCACGTCTTCGTCCCGAAGATATTCCAGCTGATTTATGTACACATATATTTTATGCATTTGCTAATGTTGGAGGTTTGACATTACAAGCAAAACATCCAAATGATTTAAATACTTATCAAGGAGAACAAGTTTGAATAATAAAAAAAAAAAATTAGTTGTTAAAATATTTTATTTCTAATACATTTTTTTTTAAAGCCACTTTATCCACGAATTATGAAATTAAAAGAAAAAAATCCTGATTTGAAAATATTGATTTCTTGTGGAGGATGGGGAAATTCTGGTGAATTCGATTCTCTTGCTTCATCAGAATCATCACGGTAAAAATATGTCTTTTTTTTTTTTTATTTTAGTGAAATTTATTTATTTAATTAATTTTTTTTCTTCTTTTATCAAGAGAAACATTTAGTAAAAATGCAATAGCATTTTGTCGTCAACATGGTTTTGATGGTGTTGATTTAGATTGGGAATTTCCATCGGCTAATCATCGTGAAAATTTTGGATTATTAACTAGAGTAATAAAAACAAAAGAAATCGAATATGGTTTTCATCTTTTTGTTTTTGTCATTGTTTCTTAATTTAGACAATGCATAAAGCTTTCAAAAAAGAAGCAAAAAAATCAAAAAAAGATCGTTTATTACTTAGTTTAGCTGTAGCTGCTGGAGAAGTTTTAATTAAACAAGGTTATGATGTACCTGTTCTTTGCAAGTAAATATCAAAAAAAAAAAAATATTTTACATTGAAAAAGTTTTCATTTTATTTAGTTATGTTGATATGATTAATGTCATGACATATGATTTATATGGTTCATGGACTGGTAAAATTGGTCATCATAGTGCATTATTTCATCGACGTGGAGAAAAAGGCGTGGAAAGAGATTTGAATACGGTTTGTTGAAACGAAAAAAATTTAATTTTCTTATCAGGATAACATCTCATATTGATAAAATTGAATACTATCTTCGTGAAGATATGATTTATTAACTTTATCGTTAAAAGTAATTTTACAATTATTGTTAAATTCCATCATTTGAAAAAAAGTTAATACCGAACGATATTCTGATTAAACGGGACAAAAAAAAACTTTCGACACAAAGTTATTTTATCGTACGACTATTAATTTAAATCGTGTCTTGAAGATTAATTAATATTATTTTAGATAAACAACAGATATATTATTTTGTAGAAGATTAAAAGACAGAAATCATTCCGTTTTCAGTTAGTTTGAATTTCACACACAAAAAAAAAGATGTTCTTTAATTGTTTTTGTTATACTTTCGAAATTCAATTGGTATAAATAATACATCAGTTCTTACTTTATAAAGAATATATATCATTAAATCAACATAAGAATGCGAATTTGTTTTTTTTTCTCATTCTAATTTTCAATATAACTGCATTATATACGATTTTAGAAATTGAGATCTCATTATTGAAAATATCGTTACTTAGCTTTTAAATCGAAAAAGTATATGTCATCTTGCTAAACATCATTTTAAGATAGACAATAATTCAAGTCTACTATTAAATTGAGTTCTGTATAGATGTTACAAAACTCTTTCATTGTTTCCTCCCTAAGACGATGATTATAGTTACTGAGACGGCTAAATAATGGATTGTTTTTCGTTGTAATTCTTAAAAATATGCATAAAGTATTATTAGATGATGACAATTTGTTCGATCATGTTAGCTTGTTTATATTTAGAATAGTTCAATGTATAATTGGATAAAAGCAGGTTGTCCACGTGATCGTTTGATTATTGGTATACCTGGTTATGGTCGAGCTTTTACTGCTTCTGGAAATGATCCATTAAAAGCATATGGTGAATCTGGTAGTGCTAGTTCTATATCATCACCTTATTTAGGTGAAAGTGGTTTACTTGCTTTTTATGAAGTAAGATATTTTCATATATATATTTTATTTTAAATAATAAAATGAACGATTTTCAAGATATGTAAAAAACAATTAAGCGAAGGTTTTAAACGTTATTGGCATAAAGAACATGAAATTTCAATTAGTTTTAAAGATGGAATATGGATTGGTTATGATGATCCTGATAGTGTTAGAAATAAAGTAATATAAAGTGGTTGATGTTTATTTTTTAAATGAATTTTTATTTTAATTTATTTTTAAAGTGTGAATATGTAAAACGTGAAGGTTTTGGTGGTGCTATGATTTGGGCATTAGATATGGATGATTTTAGTGGAAAATTTTGTCAAAAAAATCGTAAAAAACGATTAAAACGTTTTCCATTAGTCAATGCAATGAAAGAAGTATTTGAAAAAGTTGAAATAACAACACAAATGACAACATTACCTATTCAAACAACAACATTAACAAATGGAACTATTTTATTAAATGAAGAATTACAAATTCTTTTAGATCAAATGTTTGAAGATGCTTCATCATCATCAACATTATTTCAATCTTATTTTGTTCTGCTATTTATATTTATTATTAACTATTTCATAGGATTATAATATATAATTTCATCTTATAATAAATATGACCGGTTTAGGTTGGCGTGTTTTTTTTTTCATTTATTGTTTCTAGACCTTCAGTGAAATCGAGAATTTCAATTTTATCGAAAAAATTAATTACTTTCTGTAGTTTTCTATATAGTATAATTAAAACTTATCTTTTCAAAATTATATATCCGTTTGAATAAGATCGAAACTGACTGATTTCATATTGAGAAGATCATATCTAATGGAAACATACGATTGACTGCTGGTTATTTGAGTCTGATTCTAATAAAAATATTCTTCGATCAAGTTCGCTACCTACTAAAATTTTTCACCAGCTATTTTTACTAATTTCATTTAAACGATGAATAATAATATTAATGAAAATCCTGTTAATTTCGTATTTTTCATCAAAGATCATATGTTCAAAATTATTGTAATCGAGACTATTTTGTAAAGTACGATTTAAAAGGATTGTTGACGAATAGAAATAAATCACTTCCTCCATCACATACTAGCAACGAGTTATCACAGACCGTGACAGACGTCTCCAGGCTTATGTGGCCTGCTGCAATCATATTTACTTCACAATGACATTGTGTACTTATTTTTATTTCACTTTCTATTAGAAAAAAAGGGTGCTCCAATATCTAGCTTCTGTCCAAATTCACCATGAAGCTATAAGAAATTGAGAGAAAGTATCAAGCATTGCGGCAGACAATATTAAGAGTTTTAGCAGAAAGGTGAACATTTTGCCAAGGGGAAGAGGAAAAGCTTCCTTTTCACACCTATCCTATCATAATCGAGAAACCTTGATAATTAAGTAACACTGTTCTCCGCATCGCAGACTTTGATAAACGCTTTAACAGTATTTCTTTCCGTGCTACAGGTTGTGGCACACATTATTGATGTATAATCACGAACTGTATATCAGTAATATCTGCTTATAATATATGAACTACTTCTTTATTGCATTTCCGAAGGATTGAGTAGAAGAATGATGAAGAAATATATCTATAATCGACAGAATCAAACAATCTCTCTGTGATTAGCAACAACAGCTACACCGTCGTTCGTCTTTTTAATCCCATTAGTATTGCACTAATAGTTTTCTTTAATAATGAAAGATAATCATTTGAAATTAGCTATTTTCTTTCGAATTAGTCTGAATATCTCTCGCTAGAAGTTTCACTAAAAGATCTAGATAAATTCAATCATTTCGTTTTTTTTGGAATGCAGTCATTTCACTTTTATTAATTAATTCAATTTTTTCAAAGTATACATGTATAAATTAATGATGTAGCAAATTGGCTTCAATTGCATGAATATTATGTAATACTTCGTTTTGTTCTTCTTGATTAACCTTGAACTTTGTTTCAGAATTTTTGTTATCCAATTCACTTTGTGAAATAATGTTGAAACTTCGTTTTTTAGGCATACGTAATTCTACATTGTTTCCACTTGGTACAGCTACAAATGGTTTCGCATAATTTTTTATTTCATCATCATCAGTATCACGTTTGTTAATGGATCGTTTGCTTACTGATTTTTTGCACGTACATGTATTTGGTTCAAGATATTCACCATTATCATAATTACAAATTTTATCACCACAATCACATAACTTGTTATTAGTTTTTGATGGACAATCAACAGCAGGAACATCACCTAAATTGAAACAATTAATGTGAATACATAAATAAGATCATAAAATAAAATCTTACTTGGTACATATGGAGTTTTATAATTATCTTGATATTGTGAATGAATATAATTACATGTTAAAAAACGTTCAATACGATCAGGATAAATACAATGTGTATGAGCACAACCAACACGTGTCATATTACTTAACATTGCTTGTGTATAATGTAAACATGCACCTGGATTTGAAGAACATCCTGTACCATATTTGAAATAGGGTTTTTCACTACCAAGCATTCTATCTAATAGATTAACTAAAGAACAACGAACATCATCTGATACAACCATATTTTGTCCGTTTTTCCAACTAAATTTTGGACTTAAACGATTGGCGGCTAGATCATGATCAAAAGCACACATATCCGAATGAGCTTGAGCAAGCTTAGCTAATTCATCATCCCAATAGAGTTTGAACATGTATCTGGATGGAACAGCTGCACGATATTCATTATGTTTGGCAAGAAGTTGTTGTTTTTCAGTTTCATTTATTGGAATTGGAATTGCAAAATCACTTGGTCCCATACTAAAGTAAAATCAATAAAAAGTACTTCGAACTTAAACAAGCAAAGTTTTAATCATTAATCTAGTATACTATAGAGACTTTTTGTTAAAAATTAAAGAATCTATTCATTTGTTAACAAGAAGCGAACATTTTCTGTTTTGATTGTGTACGTTATCGCTAAAATGAACATTACCGTAAAGAAAGACCGTCAAATGACTTTCATTATCTATGTTCATCAGTTTTATTTTAGCGATTATTCCCTACGTTTGCTCTTTCTGCACATTTATTGTATATATATATATACTGACGGTGTTATTTAAGAATATCGCTAATAGTTTTGGTTATCAAAATGAAGATCATCGATGGTCACAGCGTCGAAATGCAAATTACCAAATTTCGGCGATGTGACTTTCAGCGAAGAGCATACTGAAATCTACTACAACGGTAGGAGATCAAAATAAATCATTGAGAAATATGTATATATATATATATTTTAGCGGCAACTTACCATTTTGTATGAAAAGGAGACAAGTTTTTATATGCTGGATCGCATGTACTCAGACGCATTAAGGGTTTTCCACTTTTTTTAACATGTTCTTCTATACAATAACGATATTTAATCTTGGGATGATTTGTTTTACATTGTTTGTACGGTGCTATTTTAGATAAATAATCACATTTGTCAAAGTTTTTTCCATTAATTGAAAATGGGATAACACATTCTAAAGTTGACTTCCAAAAATCATAACAATAAGTAAATAAACCCTGGTAATCGCTTGTTAATGAACACCATGGCAAATCTCCATTATTTCCATCAGTTGTACAATCATTATAAAGTGTATTATTGTATTTAAATGGAAATACACAATCACTTTTATCAACAGCCGGATAAATATCACGTGCTTCAAATGTTGACCAGTCATTTGAAGCATAGATCGATGACCAGAAGAGATATATCAGAAGACTGATAATATAACACCAACGATCCATTTTTAAATGAAAATAATTTTGAGGAGAAAATGAAAATAATTTTGAGGAGAAAATGAAAATATTCGGAAACGAGAACAATTTATATATGTTTGAATGGATCATTGAATAAACAGATGGTACATTTTATTTAATGATCTGAAACTTGTTGATGTTTTTTTTTAAGTTATAAGATAAACGATTATTGAAAATTGTTCATGCATATAATTATATTTGACAACATATGGAGTTCTTGTATAATAATCGTTTTTTAATTTCTTATCAACATATCTTTTGTTATTTGTGAAATAAAACTTGTAGTGCATTTTTAATGAACCGAATCAGTCGTATTAATTAAATACAAATGTTCGCATATAATTGTAAGAAAAACCTAATTTTATTTATATCGTTCTTCTACCAGATATACTCGCATTGTATGGAATTTTCAGTATATGCTAGAGCTATAGTGAACAGACTAGGCTAAAATTTCCAACCTTACATAATGATGTTTTCGAGAATACTTAAAAAAACACAACAGTTTGAAATAGATCACTTGGCAACCTGAAATTCTCTATAGAGTTTCATTCTATGTGCATAATTGTTTTTTGTTTGAAAGTACATGGCAGAATCCTTTTTATAACTCTTATTTTTTTAAAGGAAGAAAAGAGATAAAAAATTGAATGTCTCGAGAAATTTTTAAAAAATGGCGTTCTAACTTGAAAACTTTTCTTTCATACAATAGTGACAAATTTCCATTCAAAAAGGGAACACTGTCACGTTCTGCAGTTTGACATGCTCTTTGAAACAGAAAAATTAAACACATAGAATGAAGCTTTACAAAGAATACTGTGATGCCCGACCAAAATAGCGTTAGCAGAGAAAAAGCGAAAAAAAGGCTTATTGGTGTTTTTCTGAAAGAAAAAAGTATATTTTAGAAGCAGATAGTGACGGAAATCAATAAGAATTTTTCGAAAGAAAAAAACAAGATCACTAGTTAAAATGCATGTTGTTTCTGAAAGAATGGAACTAGGATCTGGCACGAACACAATTTTTCTCAATCGAATGTGATTCGGAGCTAACCGACATCTTGCAAGTAGTTCCATAGTCATAGTATGGTTTTCAAACTTTTACTTTATATGAAAAAGTATATTATTTAGTTCCGTCCACAAACAACAACCAAACAAAGGAATTATCTCAAATAATTCCACAATAACACAAGTGATTCAGTATTCACTTGATACCTTTCTATTCTTGGAATCTGATCAATTTCACTGACTATACTTTGTTTGCTGCTGATGGCGTTGAAATGGGATGCAGTATTCATGACAAACGGCAGAGTTGTGAATACATACATCAATTTTTTTTTTCATTACAATAATAGATGTCCATTTTTCTTTGATAGTTCTTTTTTCTCTCTATGTATTCAGTTACTTCGCCATATTATATATCATCATCTCCAGAGAGATCTTCGTTAAAAAACGAATTCATTTAGTAAGACAAGTCGCTTTTCATTTCTCTCATTTATTCTCAAGTATAATAAATCGTTCAATCATCCTCCATCTGGTCTTCCTTATCATGCTTTATATAAATTAACAGTTTGAGAAAGTAAAAATATTGTAAAACATCAAGCTATAGTTAATTACCGGATCGAATAGGATATCGAGTATTCGATACGGGTACAGAACGCTGAATAGGTTTAAGACTATCTTCATGTTCGATAATTTTTATTTTCAGTTTTATAACGAAAATTGATTTTTTTTTCAGAAGGAGTGGCCTTAAGTTTAATGGTTTTGCATTTTTAAGAATCAGTCTACAAGTTTTTTCTTGATTGTTATGATGTATAAAGTTTTTGTTTTTCAATATTCCCGTCAACAGATTAGACTTCATCTTAATGTGAAAGATAAGCTTGAAACTATTCACAATATATAATCTGATGATTTTAATGTATAAAACAATTATTATTGATAGGGCATATTAAGTTTGCCAGATTTTATTTTATTTTTGAAAAAAACTTTATTTAAGATTTCGATCGATTTCAGCTGATAATCGTAGTTCAAATTTTCCATATGCACATTTAGGATTTCGAATAATTACACGATAATCTCCTCTTTGCAAACGATAACTTAATACAGCTGCATAACAATTCTGTAATGCAAAACTATTTCCATCATCATTTTGTGCTAAAAGCTTGCCATTTTCTTCTGAATAGAGTTCAAGTAAAGGATCAGCAGCACCTGATAATTTCCACATTCTACAAGATACCCATGTATTAGCTGATATTGTTACATCAGCTAATGTTGTATTAACACTAAAACAAAAAGTAAAATGTGTCTCATTAGCATTTGTACTTTCATTAGAAATTGTATCAAAGTGCAGCCATCGTGGACATTCAAGTTGAGGAGTAGTAGTAGTAGTTTGTTGTCTCTTTGTAGTCGTTTCTTGTGTTGTTATTGCTGAAACAAGTTGTTCAGTAATATCAATCTCTTCAATATTTGTGGTTTCAGTTACTGCTACTTGAAATGTCCAAGCATGAGGATTATTAATAGGATTCGATTCAACACCACATGATTCATTAAGAGTAGCGACTCCAGCATCTAACAAAACATAATATTCTTCATTCTAAAACACAAACGACACAGATCATATTGTTTTGTTTCTTAATAGTTCAATATTGTGAGACAAAAATATACTTACTTCTTCCCATGTATATCGTGTTGTAAAGAATGTTATTGTTCGTGGTTGATAAAAAACAGTAACATCACTAGCAACATCAACACGATAAACTTCTTCATTATTAACACGTTTGAAAAATCGAATATAAACTCCACTAGATCGTCTTGGTCTTATAATATCCCGATCAGTTTCAAGTGTCCATGATGATTGAGTTGCAAATATAAAACCCGTAGGTGTCATACGAATAAATTCCGGTGGATGAACATCAACTTGAAATGTTAAACATACTTGAGAACCTGTTTGTTGTTGAGAATCAACAGGTGTTACACATAATTGATGTATACCATATTGATCTGGTTCAGGTGTCCATTCAATTGGCATTGTATATATATTTTTATTAGTTGGATCACTAGTTATTTCTCCTTTAATGAGACCAGCTGGTGATACAGTCAAAATATCTTGTAAAGTCGTGCATGTATTCTCACATGGAATGCGTATTTGTATTCGTGCATTGATGGTTGTATTTGATTGAACACCAATACATGAATCTTCTGGCCACTCACCAATATAAATAGGTGGATCAGTACAACTACAATTATCAGTTGTGATATTAACAATATGAATAAGAAATTGAAGTGGAATAGAAGAAAGAACATTATCATTTGAATCGAAATCTTCGATTACTAGTGCAACAGCATGATAACCAAGTCGAGAAGCATTGTATGTCAATTGGCATGGATTTGATTGAAGATAACCTTTTGGTGTACATATACTTCCACATTCTTCTTTTGAATTTCCCCATCGACATCGTACTGGATCACCATCACTATCAGCCATTGGAATACGAATAATACCTATCTTACCGACTTCAACTTGAACAATTGGATTCATGGTTGTTTTAGGAGAACTATTTAATCTATTAAATTTAGGAAAAAGTAAACGAATTGATGCATACTGTTAATATTTACTTACCTTCCATCTGGGCGTCGATATGTGTTAACGATAAGTTTTAATGACCAATCTGATTCCGAATCGGGTGATAAGAGCGTAATCCAACAACATCCTTGATATAAATATTCAATTCGACTGTTGATAGGTAAAAGAACATCAGCTGAATTTTCACCACTACTATAATCAAATTCTTCATTATAATCTGTACATCGTACGCTAGTATCAATTGAAGGAATTGTCACTGATGACACGCTTTGATTCGAACTCGAGACAAGTGTACCACTTCCAATTAAATTGCCTGAACTTGGAGATGTGTCATTACAAAAAACCAAAGAACGACGCCATGAATGCCGTTGCATGACACGTACTGGTATTTGTTGACCATCGCCTGTTATATTGTCAGGAATAGCACGAATTGTATAGGATATAGCTCCACCTCTATATGATTTAGATGCTTTATATTAAATGAAATAAAAATGATCTGTATTACCTATAATGGGACCCAGCAACTACAACAACTAGAAGAAGATGAACATATAGAGAAATCATTTTGGGAACTATTCCCATTGAAATCAGATCTTTTGATTAAGGTATCATTTTGAATACCTTTTTATACTCGATATTCCAATTGTATAATAATCAGGTTTTCAGACAATCTCTTAAGTAAATAATAAATGTTTTACAAAAATATTGATCAACAAATAAGACACATGAGTATCATATATCATTAAATTTAAGAAGAAAAATATATTTCGTGATTATTTTGTATTCTATTTCTGACTAAAACCTGGACAGATATTTTTTTATTAATCATGCAATATTTTCATTAAATTAAGGTTAGAATTCTTCATGACAACAGGTGCACTATGTGATAAAATATACGTGTCTTATATATCCTCAGTTATTTGCATCAACATTTCTGCCTTTCATGTCATTATGAATCATGGTTATTTATCAAGTTTTGTGTTTATAATTATGATAAGCAGAATATTTGATTATTGCAAGTATTCATGACATTATCTCTATCTTTCATAAGATTTGAATGATGATAAGTATTTGAGCAGAATTATATTACAAAATATACAACTAAAAAAATCATTCGTGCTTCAACCAACGCATCAAATTCACATAGCAAAGATGTGATGCACATGATTAAATTTCCGTATTTTGTATAAACCTCTTAAACGATTATTTAAATGTATCATGGATGAAAAACAAATTGCTTCTATTAATAAGACCGTATTCTCTTCGCCGAAACTTGCTTATTTGCATTGTGACGATGTGACTATCGACAATGACTGTTTGTGGAAATCTTCATTTTAATGGTCGAAACTATCAGCAATACGCTGAGACGATAACTACAATATAGTTAAACGAAAGTTGGGTGAAGTGTTGATGCTGCGATGAATGCACCTATGGATGTGGTGATGGATGCAGGGACGTGTATCGCTCTGTATGGATGTCAGTGTAGTTAAATAGTTGAGGGTGTAGGGATGAGTGCCGAGATAGGTACGTATATAAGTGTCGTCGTCGCTGCGATCATGGATATGCGTGTAGTAATGAGTGTGGATGGGAGTGCGCCTGTCTGTATTGTTGTAGGTGCAGATGTGGATGTGGGTGTGAGCAAGTATGGATATCCTTATTGATGTGAATGCAGATATGCGTGCGATGTAACGCTTTTCTTAAACTATTTAACTTATTAAATTCATAAACATGTACCCATGAACATACGCAGATATAAATATTGCCACACTTACACACCTCACCAACACACTCACACTAACCAGCATACGCAGTCAGATTAACACCGCGAACACCCATAGTCCACTTTCATACATGCGCTCAAAGCCACAAAAAATTCATCTACACAACACACCCCAACACGGACCACAAATGCACACTCCTAGTTTTGATTAAGGCATGTACACATAAGTAAAATGCTAGATTTATATATAATTTGTTTTTCGTTTAACAAAAAAGAATCGAGGTTCATTTTAATTATTCCATTTTTCAGTCTATTTCGAAAATACAGTCAATCCTTCTTCAATATTGATAATCCTTCATAATAATGCTTTTTTTCTCTGTAGAAATTCTTCACTAATGAAAAACAAGACGAAATCACTATGGAAGAAACATTGTTTTCTGTTGAGTTTGAGGAAGAGAATGTTGTTTTGAAATTGGATGTGGTGAATGAGAAACATCAATTCTCTTGTTTTGTGTTGTATAACGATCATCAACGTAAATAAGTTCAGCTGAATCATTACTCCAACCATCATCACTATCGTAATTTATCGATATGTCATCTTTTTCCATTAACATTGTGACTTTTTCTAATGGTAAAGACAACCTATCATTTGGAGATAAACGATCCAAAGAAGAAAATGAAGAACTTTGTTGATCGACAATATCGTCGGATTCGATTAATTCATGAGACGAGCTGTTAACAACAGAATTTATAACATTATCAGAATCAGATGTAGGAGCAAACGAATATGTTTGACAAGAAGATATTTTAGATGAATGATCAATAAATGAAAGATGTTGAGATCTAAAAACGAAAATTCTATCATAGATTATGATTCATATTAATGATATAGAACCTTTTATATAGGAAGTGTAAAGTAGTGATCATATTCTCGTCAAATTATAACTTTCGCTGACAAGATGACAGAGGAAAATTATGAGCTGACGATGAAGAATCTGGACTAGAGATGCGCAGGATCAGTCTCAGTCTCAGTCACCAGAGCGAGGATCATGAGAAAAGAAGTTGTTGAAATCACGAACAAAATAAATTGTCGCTGTATATCTCTAGTCTACACTGATATATTCAATTTCTAATGTCTTTAGTTTTCCTATAGCGACAGGATAATGCAAGAACTGTTTGCATTAATTATTGTATAGAAGCATAGGATTTTTCAGGAAGTAAATTTCGAAAATCTAATTGAAATTTGATGGAATATATATGAATTGCGCTAGATTCAATTTCTTCTCAAAGTTCAATAGCATTGAGCTCGAAAAAAAAGGATAAACTTCTTGTCGGAAAAAGAACTCACGTATAAAATCTGTAAAGATTATAAGAAATTATGCATCACATTGTATCTAGATGATTATTGCTTTGGAGATTAGCTCAAGAAAAAAAAATTTTTGTTTTTATCATTCGATTGAAGACCTTCATCTCTATTTAATATAAATCTATAGAAATATCATTTTGAACAATTCATTACTCTCTATGAAAATAAAATTACAAGTGCAGATAATTTCTAAATTTTCATGAATGTTGCAGACTTTTTGTCGAACTTGATACTATTCAAGTTGCAGAAGAAATGAAATCTAGTATAGTCTTAATATGATCTATAAATTTGGATTAGATTATAGAAATTCACACGCCAGATAATTCGATAATTGTATAGGAAAAGCTGATAGCGTAATTCCGTAGAAATTAAAATATGAAACACGATATAACTGCTGCTCCGACTTATAGGAAGATTGTTGTTTTCTATCTATTTTGGAACACATTTCTTCACTATCATTTTACTTGATCATCCAGAAATGTAGTAAGTAATTAGTTTATACATTATAACGAAACATTATTCATATACAGTGTTTCGTCGTATATTGATGTCTGTTACAGTCTGCCACAGATGAAGGATGGATTTCTAAGGTATTTGACACTACTTGTGATAGGAAACGCGTGTTGATGATATGTCTGTAATTGCCTGTCATGATATATCAGGAGGAAAGATTACAAATTTCTACTCTACATGCTGGAGCATTCATTTTAGATGGTGTTTCAAAAAATCTATGTGATTAAGTTTTATATTGTCATGTTGATATACAAAAACTGAATCTGTTAGAAATTGAATATCTTAGTACAGAGTCATTATGATCAATTCATATTTTTCATTCATTAATTTGTTAGCGAAAGTGATAATTTGAGAAGAATATGATCAATCTTGTAAACATATCGTATAAACAGTTCCCTTTGTAAGAAAAATGTTAGCGGAATAGTATGTATTATCGATTTGATACATACTTATCCTCAGGAAGAACATATCTTTCATGAAGAGGCCGTTGTTCATTGGTGATAATCGACCCATGAGTATGAGTTAATTTATCATCACTTAATTCATAACTAGAGAAAAATGATGGTGATGATTCATAAAGATCATTTTGTCGCTGCTGATTAATTTGATGATCTGATACAATTGACCAAGATGTTGGTGATCTTGCTTCAAAAATTCTATTTGAATTTTCTTGTACTTTGTTAAATTCTATTGTATTGATTTTTGATGCATTATTAAATCGATTGGCTTCATTGTCTTGTAGAATATGATTAATATTCATCGATTGAATTTGACTAGTTCGTAATGAATTATTCATAGATTCAGTTAGTGAATTTTGTCTTGAATTAAATTCTTGATTTTGTTCAGCTTGATAATCAATATTAGGTATACGAATTACTTTACTTGGAGAAGTTTTAAAAGGAGGAATAGTATTTCGATGAGTTGTTCGACTAAAAAAAAACATTAAAATAGAATTGAAAAATTTTTTTTTTTTGGCAATTTGTTCTACGTTTTATTTTGCATAACAAATCCAACTGGTTTTGATGAATATGTTGGTTCAGTAGATTGTTTTCGTCGGTTTATATTACTAAGGTTTTTTCCTTTAAGAATTGTATTATTTGATTTCTCATGTTTGATTTTATTGTTTGTTTCACGAGGATAGAAATTATTAGCGATCAATGCTCGTCGATTGTTATTATAATCACTAACATGTTCATCATGACGATGAGGAGTATTTGTAAGAAAAGTTTTAATTTGGTTTAATGAATTTTTATGATTTTGATTAATTGGTAATAGGTTTTCCATGTTTTTCTCTACAAATGAAGAGAATCTTAATTGATATAAGGAAAAGTTTTGAATGATGTAGAAATTATACCATTGATTTGAATTTGTTCTTTTTGAGAACTTCTTTGCCATCGATTAATATAATTCGATTGTTTTTCCTCTTTATGGTTTCTTTTTTCTTGAAAATTATCGTTAACCTCATCATTGTACAAAGATGGTAAAGTTTGTTTTATTTGATGAGATGATGCCATGTGAAGATTTTGCATTATAGAAGGACTTACATTGTCTCTTTGAATACTTGAATCTATTCATCAAATTAAAAATTAATAAAATATCTTACAAGTACATGATTTCTATATCAAAAACACGAAAAATAAAGTCGATTTTAGATCAGATATACTTAAATCACATGAAATTTTCAGGATAGTTAACATTGTAGTGAAGAGGCTGTGATGGAATTTTCCTTCTTACAGAATGATGCTTTCGATGATGTTCAACAAATAATGATAAAAAAAACTGCTTATTTGCTAGTGCAAAATTTTCTGTACGTCCTCATTTGATAGATTTGACTTTTTTTCTATTTAAAAGAGCACGTAAGACTGCGGTATTCTTGTTTTAAATTCTTCTTTTTACGCAAAGAAAACGAATGACAAATGAGATACTTCAATAAAATTCTTTAAAAATGGTCATTGATTTATATAATTGCATTTTATATAGTAATAAAAAATCTTAATTCAAAAAAGAAAAAGAATACTGCATCTTTTCATGTTCTTTCAAACAGAAGACAAGCAAATGACTATAGTGAAGCTTCTTCGAGAATAATGATAAACATGGTTAGGAAGACATAAGCAAAGAAAAAGTGAAAGATATCACTCAATTGTTCGAACAGAAGATAACGGAAATTATCAATAATTTTGGTAAAAAATGAAGTATCAGATGAAAAATCATGTCGTTTATGAAAGATCAAATGTCAGAGTATCATCTCAATTTTAACTTTTCTGACGGAAGTTGGCTTTTTTTTTTAGAAGAAGGGAGAAAAGCTTCAAACGTTCATTCTATCAAGCTAATGATATGGATTCGGTTTTCTATCAAAATCATGTAATGAAATTTATGAAAATATCCGTTGTCGTCAATGACTTAGGAAAATATTCATTTTTATGTGTGTTGTACATTCCAAAACGTCATTTTAGGTATAGCAAAGTGCAATGGTTATAGAAATTTCAATGCATATGATTCATTATAAGGACTATCGTTTTTCATATAGCATAATGTATTATAGAAAAAAGACAATGAATGATTAATAGAGAGCGTTCGAAACGATCCTTCCTACTTTTCGAACTATCCATTGACTTTTCTTATGAAGAAGCCTACCCAACTGAATAATCTCCATTTGGCCTTATATGGTTTTCATACGTAGAATTCATAGTATAGATAAAAATTTTGAAAGAGTTCGTGCCATTAGGTTTGCTTTCTCAAGGATAGTACGCGAAAAACTACGAAAGGAGTTTTGACCTAAAATTCTTTCCAACAATAGCTCTCGTCATCTTTATAATACTCTGAAAGTTTCAGCTGAAACGATCGTGATATTCTGCAATAGACTGAATGTTCAATAAAATGACGATAATTCGAGAGACAAAAGACCTAATAGTATTCATCCTTTCAGAACCTTATCTACATGATGAGCACTACCTACGAAAAAAATCTGAGTTTAAACAGATCTTATCAATTGGATGGGTTCCTTAATCAGCAGCAAACACAGAAAAAAATTAGCCAGTACGACTTCTCATTTGACATGAATAGGTATTTTGTGCTTATGATTGTCCCAGACACTTAAATCCTACATCCATCACTAGAAAAAGAAAATGATGAATCTCACAGAAAATAACAATCTTTAAATGAATACAAATAACATATCGTCGAACTAATAAGCAGACGATCAATTTTTTAGTTATTGAAAATACTCAGCATATTATAAACGATATAAAATTGAAAAGAAGCATCAAATAAATCTTTATTACTTGGATACAAACTTGTATTCGATTGTTTTTCTTGTCTGAATAAATGATTATTAACTTTTGATGGTGAAACATTTAATTGTATTTTTTGGTGTACAATATTTTTTCGTTGTGGTATTGATAAATACGATGGATGTTGTCTTTCAATAACTGATCTATTAATATGTTCTCTTATTTGTTCTTTATTTGAATATTGACTAAGTGGTGTTGTTGCTTTTAGTTTTATTTGTTCATTAATAGATCGATTTGAACGAGATATTGGTTGATTATGTGAACTATTTGATGTTTTAGTAGTTGAATAAATTTGTTGATCATTAAAATTCAAAAATGGTGTTGATGATTCAGCAATCATATTAAATTTTCTTTCATTTCTTAATTGTTTTAATGTTGGTATAATTGGTTTTTGAATAATTGTATGTGTAGTTTGTAAAGATTTATTAGTTAAATCATTTAATGATCGATATTGTTGACTAGAAGGATGAATGTATACAATTTTATTTATATTTGTCTGTTGATGAAATTCTTTTAATGCATCTAAATGAGAATTATCATAAGACTTTTTGTTCATTTTCTTTTGTTTATCAGAAAATAAATTTGAATGATACTCTTGTTTATATGTACTATGATTAATCATATTTTTTTCATAATGATTATGTTTTAAATCAACAAATGAATATGGAATAGATTGATCTTGAAAACTATCATCTATATTTGAATTTTCATTTACTACACTTAATGGTCGATGTATTGTTGTATATTGTTGTTGAAAATTTTGAATAGATGAATTTGTTGAAAAAGAAAGATCAAGACCAGAATCAAATAATTCATGATGATTAGTTTTATTTTCATAGAAAGATTTTTCGATCTAGAAAACAAAAACAAAAAAAAAAAATCTTTACATTTAAATAAAAAATAATTATGTTAAAAATTTTATACTTGATTAATTGGTAAAATTAATAATGGTGAATCATTATATGAATTTCGATGATTATTTGATTTCAAACTAATTTTATCTTTTTTTCTTGATCTTGCACCTAATACAGGATGTGTTAGTATTGCTAAATGATCATGAGGAATAAAGAATTCATCATCAATATTTGTTTGAGATGACGATAACATTAATTCTTTCGTTTCGTCATCATCTTTTATTGGAGTAACAATACAAATAGATCCAGTAAAATTATCAAATGAAATATTGGTTATTCTTTGATCTATATGACATCAATGGAAAAATAGCGGATGTATATATAAATCAGGAAATTAACACACAGAAAAAAAAGAAAAAGAAAAAAAATCTTCTTGCACTAAAAAAAAAAAAAAAAGAATAAGACATAAAAAGTATTTTATTTTCTTTTATATCGGCATTTGTAAGAAGTCATTTACTTTTATGAAAATGAATGTTTGTATAGGACGTATTTATAGTCATCATCATCAAATGTATTTTTTATTTAGTATAGAAATATAAATTTAGTAACATCTCAAAAATAGTACACAATAGAATTTGAAAATGCACTTATCTTAATTTGATTTTATCAAAAGATATAAAGATAAAATATTTCTTTATTGTTATTTAGTAGTTGTGACAGAATAAATTAGTCTCTTAGTACTTTCTTCATATGTCAGAGCATTTTGTATCGTTTAGAATTTAAATTTTTTCCACAAAAAAAAAAAAAATATAGGCTGACATTGTCTATAAAATGATAGACAGTCGAACATTAGAACAATAGAAGAAAAAAATTTTTTTTGATAATTATAGTAACAGTCTATTGCTAATAACTTTCTATCAAAAAAAAAGCAATATTAAGTTCTATTTCTTTGAGCTAATAAATAATTGCTAAAATTTTGCAAAATACTATGTTTGAGACATAATCAAATGTACTTGAACTAATTACATATACACAGAATAAGGTCACTTTTAACAATTATTAAAACAGAGTTTATTGTCTAGATACTAAGACCAACGTTAACTTGGTTTCCTCTTGTGACTTTAATCTTATCAAGAGTAACAAAATATTTAAGCATAATTCAACTAAACTTTTCTACACTAAATCATTTACTTAAAAACTAAAAAGTTCGTACTAAAACAGTTATAAGTATCTATCCAAGATCACAAAAATGTAGAATACAAAGACATATTTTGCTTCTAAATCTGAAAAAGACAGGAATGCACATTTTACATGAAAGATGTTTGTTGTGAAAATTATTTAGTATGACTATGATATACAACTTTTCAAGCTCTACAAAATGGTCAATAAAGCTTTTACATATTTCAACACTAGGACACAAAAAACATACGAAAAACTCAATTTTATACTTGAAGAAAGTTGTTAATAATAGATAGTTAAAATAGCTGTCGAATAAATTTTGTTTTCTACTAACGATTCCTTGTGTTGTTTTGTGGACACTTTCATGATTCATCTTTTAAAAGAAATTTAAATCCAAAACGATAAGATATATTTAGTAGACATATTAAGAAAATACTAAAAGACTTATTTAATCTGATGCATCCGTTGAATCTAAATACAATTGATTCATAATGTAGAATTTTTTAATCTTTAAAATTCACTAAAATAATAATAATAATAAACTCAACACACTCGACCGTTAACCATTTTGTTTAATCAATGAAGCTAATATTATATGAAGTACGGATAGAATGACTATGGAAAACTTGCAGACAGCGTAATGACATGGCATTTTCTAACGACATAAGAAATATGTAAATATATACGTTTAATTATGTTTGAGCATTAATAAAGGAAAAGAAAATATCGCAGGTGGTACTGAATGACTCTAATGACGTACCTTTATGTTGTTGGATAGATTTCATTATCTAATTTTGTCACATGATAATATTCTCTTTCTTTTTCAGATTTCAATAGTAGAATGTTACTTTTTTTTTGATGTTATGACTGTTTTTGTTTTTTTTTTTTGTCTTTACTATTTCCTGGCATTAATGTTCATCAGGATATTAATATAGAAAAGAGAAACAGAGACTGAGAAAATCTCAGAACATCACGCAAACGAAAAGGAAGAAAAAAAGAAGAAGAAAAAAAAAAAAAACTTTGAAATCAAATAGATGCTTAGTTATGATGACGGTAATTATTGTTCAACATGAACTTTGATATTTTGGTTTCTATAATTGTTCTCAATTTTCTCACTTCATTAGCATCTATATAACCATAGAATAAGTACTTGGTTCAACTCCATTATGCACTAGGTTTTGTTCTTCTCTCGAAATAAAAGATTTATTTAGATTTCAGGATTTTTTTTCTTGTTTCTCTTTACATAGGGTACGACAAGTGATATATGATATTTGAATGTTCTTTTCTTCGGATAAATGAGTACGTAAGAAAAAAAAAAAGCATGACATGCCGACAAGTTGTCTAAATGTGATGAGATTTTGTCAAATAAATCATAAACCATGATAGGCGACATATGCAAAATGAAAAAAAAAGATTCTCGTTATATACAAACCGACAATTCATATTTCTTTTCTATGACATGATGAACAACAAGTCTTAATGAATTAAATATATAGAATATATTTGACAAATCTGATATTTTTATTATGACAATATAAAACAATAGAATATAAATCATAAGCGACATAAACATGAAAAAAAAAAAAACTTTTTATGATAATCTTAATGTCAAATAGTTGTTTTGTGATTTTTTTATCAATGATTAATAAGAATATTGATCATGTTCTGCATACAAGAAACAATCATTTGAAACAAAATAAATATCATACTTGAACGTTTGATATAATTTCTAATACTTAATTCTAATTACAAAAATAAAAGGATTTCATGTAATTAATCAATAAGGTTAAAGTCTATTTAAGTTCTAAGTATATTAAAAATTATTCAAAAATATGATAAAATATCTTTAAGTATGTTCTTTGACTTAAAAACACTTTAAAAAAAAATACCATTCGAAAAAAGGAACCATGTATCATTCATTTTTCACAAAAGACAAAAGTGAATTTGTCAATTTAATGTAGAAATCAACAATAATTCTCGGTTTGTTTTCTTGACAAATATAAGTCTACATGAATATTGTAAGAAATTATATTCAAAGTAATCTTATATTAACGATTCACTTGAGAAAAGCTGTTAACACAATTCTTGCAGATTTAAAATATGAAACTCAACATTGTTGTTGTTGCTAATCATGAAAAGATTGTTTTATTCTATCAATTTTGGGATACGTTCCTTCACTAGCCTTTTATTTAATCGTATTAAGAACGTAGTTCATATATTATGTACGGGATGGTATTCATATGCAGTCTATGATCAGATATCAACAACGACTGTCATAGTCCGTGACGTTTTTATGGTTGTCTCTGCTGCGATCTGTGATGAAGGAGAGACATTGCTAATAATGTCTGTCACATCTATGCAGCAGATCAAACTTCAACTTCTATACTTTAACAACCGTTTTAGATCATGTTTCACAAATAAAAAAAAGACAAACATATTATAATGAGAATAAAGTTTTTGATTTATCGATAACGAAGTATTTATTATTTTCTGATCCATTCGATAAATAGAAGATTCTTGATTAATTTTTCAACAAAACCTTTTTTTTTTTTCTTTCTCATAACTTTATCAAATAATTCATCGGTGTAATATACATTTGCTTTTGTAATAATCATATCGATCTCACTTAACTTTTTATGTAGAAATAATATATTGACAGTTATACTAATTCTGATTTATCATATACAAAGATATCAACATATTGATAAACTAAAATAATGAAAGAACTATTTTTTTTTCCAGTAAACATCGTCAAGGACATATTGAGTCTTAGTACATTGAAATGAAGTTAGTGAAATCAGTGAATCATTAAAAACGGTTCAAAGTTTGTTCAGTTCTCTTTGTGTACATGTCATAATTTTTTTTTTTAATACGAACATTTATTATTTTGAATTTGTTTCACTTTACACGACTTTGAAACTTTATGTGATAGTTTTGTTAAACATATCCATTGAATTGTCATAAGTATTTGTTCAGATAAATCGATATTGCACTTTTGTTGGTATTACTATCAGTTGATTGTTGGCATACTGGTGACTTTTTATTCGGAACGATCAATATAAATTAGTAATCGAGTGAAATTAAGACTTAAAAAAAACATTGCAAATCTTATCATGATCAAATAAGAGAGCACTGATAAGGTAAGAACGAAGATTATCACTCCGAATTAATTTTGATTTGTCAAAATTTTTGAATATTTTCTAATGTGAATGAAAATTTTTATTACTTTTTTTTTCGTGAATGTGAAAGAAGTAATTTTGACAGAGTTTATCTGATTTATTCTTATATGTTCAAACTAGAATATAATGTTTATTAGAAAAGTAATCGAGAAACAAAATAATAAAATAAGTAATAAGATTGTGCTTATTCTGTTTTATTTCATAATGTATAAACATTGTGATATTTTTCCAGATTTTATATTAACTAAAGAAAATAATGAAAACTAAGCATAAAATAGAATATTGTTTAAATCACAATTCCGAAACGTTTTGTCAATTTCTTCATATGGAAACAACGTATAGACGTGAAACACTGGAATTTCGCTGATCTAGTATCGAGTCAACATATGATCAGTTTTTTTTAATCATTTCTCAAAGCATATCGTTCATGTAAAATATTTTAAATGAATAATATTATTTTTATAATTTGATATTTTCAGAAGAATCGTTCAGATATATGAGCAGAACTTTGACAATTGATAAATGTTTGTCTAATGGGCACATTAAAATACCATTTCGCTGTTAATTTCTTTTTACCTTAATAATTATTTAAAAGAAACATATTAAAACATAAAGTAAAAAATTATTATTTAGTTTCTCTATTTCAAATAAAAAACCAATGAATATATTTGTTCATATCTTATCAAATTCATCTAATAAGGAGTACAGTATTGCAAATAACTATTTTTATTAAATTACAATTAACTCTGTTCGATCTATCCTGAGAATAAACTTTCAAAGAAGAATCATAAACAATCAAGTTTTACCTACAAATATCAAACCAAGCGATTATAATTATTGTCTATTAAAACAAAGTAATGATTGTGGTCATTTTTGCAATAACTCAAGAAAGAAAAGAGCTAGAGAGCTGTGGTTTTCACCAGTCGAAAGAGCCGACACTAGGGCATCTTCTTCTCCAATATTGTATACAACGAAATCATTTCAAAATCAAACGTTTTTACAAAACATTGAAAAAAAAAGCACAAAAATTACCTTTCATTCATATGAAATTCAGATAAAAAGTAAGAAAATTTGCTTAAAAATTGAGAGAAATTCATACTTTTCGAGGGAGTAAATAAAGGATTTGATTTGTTTAATGTTATAATGCGTGAAGATCATCATTCAAATTATATCTTAAACTATAAATCTAAAATCTCTCTATCTAAATCACATATCAAAACCAAAATTTTTATCGGAATGACAGACCACTTTCATGGATTTTTTTGTAATGTTTTGCAGAAATGATTGGTTTTAAAATGAATTCGTCTTATACAATATTGGAGAAAAAGATACTCTAGTGTTGTTTCGTTTGATTGATAAAAATCGCAGCTCTCTAATTCTTTCCTTTTTTTTGAGTTATTGCAAAAATGACCACGACCATTTTTCTTTTTGTTAACAGACAATAATAATATTAATATTCGTTCATGATCGATTTTACTAAATACTCATACTCATTAATAATTTCAAACTAATTATCTACCAAAACTCGAGAGATCAATGATAATTATGTTTCCCTGTATAGCAAGGTTAAAAAAACTTGACTGTAACCAATTTCAATGGATAAATGAAGCTAGTGAGATTCTCTAACGATGAACGTGAACCGTGTACAAAAAAACTAACAACGATAGAATTTCGATTATCTTAAGAATTTTTTTTCATCAAGTGTTACAAAAGGTATATCAAAACGAATGAGAAAATACTATTATGATAAATTATCTCTTTATATCATGGAATACAAGTCATTTTTTGTGAAATTTAATATTATCCAGCAAGATATACTACCGTTTATTTCGAAAAAAAGAGTTTGATTCAATTCAAAAAAACGTCTCTAAACTTAATTATATTTCATCTTCATAAGTTGCTAATCATTGTTGATTATAATAGAAGAAGATCGGATAGCAATTGAGCAAAAACTAACTGTGAAATTAAAAAATATTCACTTTTCAAAATTTTGCTTTGTAATCTCCGTAGAAATTTTTCTTGATATTGGTATTTGACATAGACAAGTTGAAGAAAACTTCAATAAAAAAAAACATCGTCAAATTTAACATCTTTGAATCTTAATAGACTCAAGCACTATGTTTACTTAACTGCTCTATAACACTCTCAATTATAGATGTTGTTGCTTCAATCGATTATAAGCTAAATTCATTTTTATAGTTTTAAGTTCGTAAAAAACCATCGTTTTAGGTGCTGTTAAATGAGTGCAATCGATTTTTGTCTATTAAAGATATGCACAAAAGAAAAAGAAAAGATCAATTTATTTTCATCATCTTATAAGAATGTTTGCATCGGAATGAGCATATCACATATTTCTTCCAGATAAAACACAAAAGAAAACAAATCGTTCTATTTTCTTTTCGAATCATTTATTTTCTGGTTCTTTTGCTTCATAAAACAAATAATCATCGAAAGTATAAAAAAAAAAAATATTTGCTCGAAAAATCTCAAAACAAATCAAATGAGTAACATACAAAGAAACAATGCATAAAATATCGAGTTACATAACAAGTTTGTCTTGAGTGTAGGAGCTGCTCCTCGATCGCTGGTAGTAGATCTGATGGTGTCTGAGATGGACACTGGCTTTGTTGTTGTTGTTGTTAGCGATTCTACAGTTGTTGTTGTTGTTAGTGATTCTAAAGTTGTTGTTGTTGTGAGCGATTCTAAAGTTGTTGTTGTTGCCGATTCTAATGGTGTTGTTATTGGCTTAGCCGTTGATGTGCATGTTCTGGATATCGTTGTTGATGTCTCTTGTGTTGATGAAAATGTTGTTGAATTAATTCCATTCATATTTGATTGAATCCAATCATGATAGACTGACAGTCGAGTATATATGCCAGGATTTTCTGGATCAGCACATCCTTTTCCGAAACTCACAATACCAACTTGTTCCCAATGATCGCGAAGCCATTGATGAATAGGACCACCGCTGTCACCTAGAAAATAGATGTGCATTTTTAATACTAAATTCATCTGCAACAAAAAAAGAAAATTATTTGTCTACCTTGGCATGAGTCTTTTTCACCGTTATCAACCATAGCACAAAATTGTCGATCTTTATCAATAATTGAACCGAGACATCGCCTATCATCATTAGCTATTGTGTTCACACGAACTTGGCGTAATACTTGTGGTCGAATACCACCAGAAAGTAATCTACCCCATCCAGCCACTGCCAAGCGTGTTCCAACTTGTGGATAATCGAGTCCAGCTGTCTTTGGAGGTAAACAAGAACGACCAGCATAATTTTCTGGCACTGCAATGTCTACTGGTGATGAAAGACGAAGAAGCGCGATATCATTAACAAATCTAGGTGGTCCTTGATAATCTGAATGTGGAATCACTTGAGCAATGGTACGCACTTGTGGTGAAGATTCTGTTTCATTATGAACACCAATATGAATAGTTATTCCATCAGCCAGACTGATACAATGAGCAGCTGTTAGTACCCATTCTTCATTCAAAAGTGCACCGCCACAAAAATGTATAGTAGATCTTCGTAATGCTACCATCCATGGCCAACTATGTGGTTGAGCGTTCTCACCACCAACAATTCTTCCTTGAACACGACGGCGAGTACCTGGAAATGGTGGTTCATCATGAAAAATAACTGGCGTTGCGGAGCAACCACATGAATAACTTGTATTACATATAAATTCAATTGGACGACCTTAAGAAATATGATAAATCATTATTATGAAAGTCATTTCCTAAAAATATGAAATTTACCAAGTACATCTGGCTTGGGAGTTCGATATGTAATAGGTGGAAATGTTCCAAATGTTGGAAACGGTGAGACAGTTGTTGGCGGATTTTTTAATGTTGTCAAAATCCAATCAATAAAAGGTGCTATTCGAGTAAATAATCCTTCGGTAGTGCATGCATTACGAAAATTTGTAATACCAACAAGTTCATATTGTAGACTATCATTTGAATAGACCATCAATGGACCACCAGTATCACCTAGAAGAAAGCATTTCAATTACTGAAATAAACAGATAAACTAGTCAATTACATACCTCGACATGTACCTAGAAGGAAAAAAAAACAAATATTCAATTAGAAATCATTGAAGAAAATAGAAATAAAGATATATCATACCAGTGGCACAAAGTTGTGTATTTGGATCAATTGATTTTTTAGAACATGGAACATTTTCTTGTACAGTTATTTGTTGTAGAAATGGAGATTGGGTAGATATATTTGAAGAATTCGTTGTAAAATCCCATCCGATTGTTATCAAATCCATATTTTCTAATAATGTTAAATTTGATAATGAAATAGTTGATACACTTAATCCTTTAATATTGAATGCTGATGAAACACGAACAAGTGCAATATTACTAAGATAATTGATCGATGAATAATTCGGATGTAAAATTATTTGAGATACTGTTCGAAGTTGTTCTGTTTCTTGATTTTCAATATAAATATTATGTATACCTGCTTTGATTGAAAACCAATTTGGAAAGGCTGTAAGTTGTACAAAACAATTGGCAGCAGTTAGTACAAATATATCAGAAAGAATTGCACCACCACACATATGTGTTACAGAGCCTAAAACATCAAAACGTACTGAAACCATCCATGGAAAAGCATCTTTTGATGCGTCTAAACCATCAAATATTCTTTCTTCGTCTTCTTGACAAACATAAATCTTTATGAATATCACCAGAAATAATATTGGAAGGAACCTCATCTTAACGATGCCTTTGAAAAATAAGAAATGGTAAGGATATTATAGTACGAATGAAGTTTTTATTTGATTGATAAAGAAATATTTATCGTTTCTGATCCATTTGATAAATAGAATATTCTTGACTAATTTTTCAATAAAGGGTTTTTTTTATCTATCTCATAATTTTATCAATAATTCATCGATGTAATACACATTTGCTTTTGCGATAATCATATTAATCTCACTTAACTTTAAGTAGAAATAATATATTGACAGTTATACTAAATTCTTGTTTATCAAATACAAAGATATCAGTAAATTGACAAACTAAAATAATCAATGAATTATTTTTTATTTCGCAATACATTTGCATATAAAGTATTTGAATGGCTCAATAAATAACCTTTTTTTTAATATTTTCATTGATTGAAATTTGAAATTCGATTAAATCATGACAACAAGCGAATAATGCAAATGAGAAAATAATCAACCAGAAAAAAAAACACCGAAATTGAGAATTTATTCCTCATACGTAATTGTCACTTTGAATTAGAACTAATATCCTTATTGTCTTTTCATCGATTTTTAGTAACGAACCTCATGTGAAGAAAATATCAAATATCTGTACAATTATCGATCGTGCATCGATCCATTGCTTTCCTTGATTTAGTTTATAAATCGAGTTCTAACAAGCAAAATAAATATTTGTTAAATCCTTTTGATAATATATGTTGAAATGATTGTCTAACTTCGAAACAAAAGGAGATAACATCGAATTCAGCCATGACAAAAAAAAACTTGATCTTCTATAAAAAAAAAAAATATGTTTTGAGCAAAATATTGGAATTATAAATTGTAGCAAAGTAATCATGATATATCAAAGCTATATTATTCATAGAGTTTCGTGCAATCATTAAATAAGAGATAAATATATTGGTTGAGCATTCTCCAAAATGAAATTGTTCTAAAGTGCTAAGAAATCATTGTTAAATGCTGTTTTCCAAATAAATATTTTAAGAGATTATTCTTTTAAGCAAAATTTTTGTTATTAGAATGAACATCAACAAATATGGAGCGTTCCCAAGCAGTCTCGAAACACTTAACTACATTTTGATAGCTCGATTCAAATTAAGATAGAAAATGTTTTACTATAGTGATCATCAGTTGCATAAAGTCAGACAATTTTAATGCTTTAAGAAAAAGCATAAGAGATAAATCGAATTCCTTATTGAACACAAAGATTAAGATGCGTTTTTGAGGTACTGCAGCTTCTTGAAGACTATCATTTATTAACATAAGCTTCTACAAGTAAAACGCTCGCTGATCAATAGCAAAGATTTAAATCGGTTGTTTTTTTTTATTTGATAATATTAATTTGTGCACACAGTTTACACTGCTCGTTAAAAGAAAACAACAATTAAAATTAGATTTTTTCTGTTTTCTTATATGAAAAATCTTCCTTGAAAGCAGAAATAAATGTCGAGTCTTGTTTTCAAACAGTCAAAGCCCTAAGAGATATTTATTTGATGTAAACAGTTAATAAATTGCTTGTAAAAAAATTTCTATATAATATTATGATCAACATATGATATCTTCATTCGTCATTCAAAATAAGATATGATTGTAAGTATAAAATGTAATTATGTATGCCAACATATTATTTCTTTTTAAAAATACAAATATTAAATTAATACATTACTCTGTTACTAAGATTTATAGTTTCTGCTTGTCTTTCATTCTTACTGAATTATAAGAGTCAACAAGTTTAAACTTATATTTTTAATCATATATTTAATGACTCATGACACTATTTCTTGATCCTAGTTTTTACTGTGAAAAGAAAATCAATGAATGAGAAAAAGAACATTGAAAAACTCGGTAATCGTTTATTATATGTCAGTTCGAGGAAGTGAGAAAAGATAAATTCTCTGGGATAGATCTTTTTAATAGCAAAGAAAAATAAAAGACAAAACTTTTCGACCAATGACAAATCTATCTCTAACGAGCTACGTCACTTAAGCATTTCAGTGGAAACAAGTAAATGAAACGTAAGGAGAAAAAATGTAAATTTAAAACTCTATAAATACATTGACTTTTATGTAGAAAAAAAATGTAAAATGTCTTTATCTAGCGTAAAACATGTATTAGCCACATTATTCATATATTTTTTTCTAATGTTCGATGCTCGTTAGATGACTAAAACGTCAACATAATAGTTATTTATTAATCTGCGTTAGACATTCATCTCATATCATTCTTTATGCTAAATCTGTAGGAATAATTTAGACATGATTAATCAAATTCTATATTAAATTTTATCTTTTAGATTATTAATTCTAACTATATTTTTAAATAGTCATAGTATTTTTTTTCATAAATCTGAAATATATATATATATCCAAGTATTCTTCGTTTGATTCAACCAATGAAAAATATCTTGTTATGCGCATTTTTTTTTCTGACAGAAGATGAGCGGAAATGATACTTCTCTGAATGAACTATAATTGCTACACGTGATTTACCATTCTATTTATTTATTTGTTAATACGACGGATGACAGATAATAGCAGCAACGAGTCAATTTCAACTAATGACAGTTCGTCTAATGGACCTGATTCTTCAAGAAGTTCCATCATTGATTATATTCAACTACCACTTTTTTCATTAACTATTGTTCTTGGATTCATATACACAGCTCTCATACTCATTCGACGAACATTTCGTAGCAATAAACTCAATTGGTTTACCATCAATGTATGTATCATGAGTGCATTACTTAGTATTTTTTTGTTAATGATGACTATCAAGCGATTATTGAATGCATCAAGTAGTCTATCATGTTATGTTGAAGGATATTTTATAGATATGAGTGCATGTCAATTGATGTATTCACATTGCGTGGCTTCTGTCAGTCGATTCCTTACAATTGTTTATGCAAATAAACATATCTTTCGTTCAACTCTGTGTTTGTGGAGTTGTATGGGTTGTGGTTGGCTTATTTCAATTCTTCTTGCTTTACCTTATCTATTTGTGGGTGGTTTTACATGTTCAAATTCAACAGAAGCAGCATTCTTGCCCTACTACACTCTTATTAGTACTCTTGTAGTGCCAGTTATAATTGTTGGCATATGTAATATTCGCATTTTATTGTACGTGCGTAGTTCCAGTCGTCAAGTACATGCAGAAGGCAATCGTAGTAGAGTATCACATGCACGAGATGTTCGTTTACTAAAGATAATCATTGGTACGTTTATCGTTTTCTTCATAGGATGGACTCCTGTCTTTCTAATGCAAATATTTGGAAAGAATAATGAGATTCCTTCAACTCTTAATGCATGTTTTCAAGCACTCCCACCATTATCTATGTTGTTGGATGTTATTTTATTGATATATACCAATCAACCAGTACGTATTTTCCTTAAACAATTAGTTATTCGACATCCGCAACATTTACAAAATAAACTTGTTCGTGCTATACCTCAACAAAATATTCATACTATTCAAAATCATTAATGTTTAACTCTTTTATGAAAAAAAAAATCAATTTTATACGATCATTCTTATTCAAGATATCATATATGCTTAGTTTTGAGGAAAACATTCAGCTAACATATGAATGATTCCTCGACGATGTTTACAAACTATGAGCTTATTGTATCATGCTTAATTTATTCAATAAAGTGTTTATTCTCGATATAATTGTTTTTAGAAATCTAAACAGAGATGTACTTATTTAACAAAAAAAAGATATTATTTGTAATTTATCAAATAGATTCTTTAGACATCAATTGAACAAATAAATACTTATTCAATATTAATATTATTATGTAAATCGTTTTGTTGTTAGTTATACACGTACAGAAAGATAAACATTCTGTGCTTTAGGATTAGTGAACACTTAAACAAACAAGCTCGCTTAAAGTAGCTTATATCTC